ATGAAAAATTCCAAACGTGTCTCCACGATTTTTGAATATCTTTACCATCGTACTTTGTATATAGGGTTTTTAAGAAATGTTTCCCAAGACCCGTAGGTGTGCTCCGCGTTGCGTCTTAAAGCGTGTGGCGATTCAAGATGCAACGCGATAACCGGCGCGGGTGGAGTTTGTTGGATGTGGCGAGAGAGGGAGAGAGGAAGGCCGGGCCTCTTCTTAGGCCGCACGTTGTTCAGGACGTTACGGAGATTTTATAGGAGCGTAACGCACGCGGCACTATACGCGCCGCTCGGCATCATAATGATTATAATTGCCCTCGCTATCTTTAATGTCCTGGAAGCGGGTAATGGTAGCGGCTATTATGGCCGCTCGTATAACCCGCCGCGATCTCGATATCCCTCATTTAAGATTCGGCCGTTTCCAACGACCACCGGATACCATCTTACGCTTATCGCTTATCGACCAAACGATCCGCGTCCTGGGACTTTCCCTTCTTTATCGAAAGCGATTTTGTTGAAGCTGTCTTTATTCATTCAACGGATATTTTGCTTTGAGAAAAATATATTTCGTCGCTGACGATCGGATTAAGATTAATAAGAGTAGATGCTTCACCATCGAGAGTCGAGTGTTTTGTGGACTTTCTTATTTTTTTTGTATAAAACGATAATTTCACTTGCGTTAATAATATAAAAAAGCGCTTAAAAGCGTTTTGCTTTTATATATATATGTACGCTTTTATTTATTAATATATCGAATTCTCTCTTTGACATATTTACGCGCTCGAAACTTTACGTTTGCGAGAGATTTTTATAAGATAAAGTTTCTTGTGTGTCTTTGAATTGCATTATACTACATTCGCGCTTTAACGACCTCTCGAATCCCTTAAACGAGCAAGTACCGTCGAAGAGACCGGGCGATAAAATTTTTATCTCATTTCGCACGTTTGTGTCGTAATTCAAGCAAACCTGCCGCGGGATCGGGCGAATTAAAACGTATCGGGGAATGATTTAATAATAATCCGGCCGCTTCTCACAAAGGGATCCAGAGGACGCAGATTAGTCTATAAATTAGTCGTTCCGCCCTTCGCGTACGTACCCTTAGTATGTTGCAATGTATACTGGCTACACACATATTTCTTCTTTTTATATCATTTTTATAACTCTCAGGCCAACGATAAAAGTTGCCGGATTACGAGTCTAATTAAGTCGATATGCAACGAAAATGTCAGTCAATTTATTTTTATTAAATATCGTTATTATACGATCCTTTTTAGATTTCAGATACGATAGTCACACGAGTCGAAATTTTTCTTTTACTTTTCATCTCAATTTATATAACAGTTATTTTGATATTTTAAGCAGTCAGATCATTTTTTTTCAAAACTATTTAATTGTTAATACGTTTTTAATCTATCGAAAGCTACTCTTTTTTAAACTTCTTAATAAGAAATATTTTATTATCTATTTGAGATACACAGTAAAAGAATAATTTCTGTATAAAGGAAATCTTTTATAATAAAATTGAATATTATTAATTACTATAATCTATCAAATCTATAAATGTGAGAATATTGAAGTTCAAAATGGGAGGAAAATTTCGATTCGAGCTGATAAACTGAATTATAAATTCAGATTTGCGCGAATAGATTCGTGTCCCTGAAACGGGAGTCAACGTTCGAACCAATAATGTGTTATCACGGCAGCGTGACGAAGGTCACCGTGCGCCTTCACACGAAGATGTCATTTCTTCATGGTCGTGTCGGGTTTATCCGACGTCTCGATCTCCCGAGCTCGACGAGAGAAAAAAAGTCGGCTGATTACGTAAGGCTGCGCCCCGCTTCCGTTTCGCGCGCCGAGACGCACCCTTAAAAAGGTTTACGGCCGGAAGTCGAACCCTCGTGTGCGCGTTCGCGGGGGCAGATGCGACGCGCGACGCATTACATGTCGCCCGCGCCGTAGCTTTTCCAGGTACACACGGATCCAATTATGTAATTAAGATAATAAGTCGACGTGAGTGTGTAGGTCCAGGTCCTTGTTTCTGTCCCTTGTCTTTCCGAGCGAGGCTCGGCGAGCAACGCATGGAAATTCTACATTATCATTATTCGTTTCAGGGGAGCGTGAGACATACGCTTGAAGACATTATATTGTACATGTATATTGCAAAAGAATTCTTGTCCTCGCTAATGATTTATGAGATACGATATGAAAATTTATTGTTATACGTATTTCTGATTTATCGGCGTAAAATCACCGAGCCAAAGATTCAAAGTAACTGTGTTCTTGGTTTTATTGCATCTCTCTTGCTAACTGCACGCGGTTGCGCGAAGCGAGCGTTTGCCAGATTACAAACAAAGCTATCGGTCCTATTCCTTATCAGGCGGAGGAAAGCAAATTATCTCCATCTCCGACGCGGCGGAAAAAGTCGCGCGCGTCAATAATCATTGCTCGTTAAACTAGCGACGCATATTCGACGAGAAAGAGAGAGAGAGAGCGAGCTCTTCTTCCTCGTCTCCTCTCTTGTTTCGAGGTTGTAAAAATTCATCTCGCGAAGAGACCGGAACGAGGAAGCTTATAAATCGGCTCGACCATCTTTATGTTTCGAAGATCGCGATCAAATTCGTGACACATTGGATGTCTCACTCTCTTGCTTACGAATATTTAATATACTTTTTGACGAAATTTAAAATCGAAACTTTACATTACAACTCGTAACTTCAAATAATATTCATATAAATAGAAAATTCTGTCCTGAATTTCGTCGTGGATTATAGATTGTCTAAAGCGGACGAATTGACAATCTATTGAAAGAAAACGATAAAAACGTTGAACGCGAATTATCGCCCATTCGCCCCGTACACCCTGTATGTACATATAATCACGGCACCTTCGAGTCCGTTAGCGTTACTAAGCGCGCGTACATCGATCATCGGCAAAGTTGGCTTGCCCGGGACGAAAGTCGTCCGATCAACCGACGGTCGTATCAGGAATTATTATTCACCGGCCGTCAGTGGATGAGAGAAGGAGAGGGCGGGGCCCGTGGCGCATGCATCATCGAGAGCAAATTCCGTTGCCCTGTCTTTATTTTACCACGGTAGTGAGGTACAACACGCGGGCGGACACGCATGGAAGACGAGCGAGAAAGGAGGAGATAGAGAGAGGGATAGAGAGAGATGCTGCTCTTCTCTCCCCTGATCCTCACGTGGCTGCCGTCAGTCCGCTTAACTGTAGATCAATCAATATACCTCGCTTGAACCCTCTCTCGGTCCCCACCTCCCTTGCCTTTTACTTCGTCCTCTCCCTCCGGCTCTGCCCCTAACGAGCTCATCGCTCGTGTAGCCAAAGAAAAAACACGAGAAAGTGGTACAAAATGGCCCTTGAGAAATGCTGTCCGTCCATCCGTTCGTTTCTTCGTTCCTGCGATCTCTCGCTCATTCCGTCGCTTCATCCCGTCAAGGGTGTAATGGGCGAGATCGGGAGGAGGGTGAGCGAGGAGGAGATCGCGCCGTGAAAATTGAACCGAGGTAAACGAACGGCGATCTCTCTCTTTCATTGATTAACGTCGATTAACAATCCCGCTGCACGTGGTGCGCGGTGAATCGCCGAGCACCTGCCGCTGTAGGAACCTCTACACGAGGCGCGGTCGTCTTCTTGTGCGTGTATCGCGCGTCGTGTGCGTGCGTATTGTACATATTTCGTTTTGTCGCCGTACATCTCGTGCGCGCTCGGCATTTTTTCCTCGTGACAGGCGTTGACGTTTACGTCTTCACACGCGGCCGCTGCGTTTTAACGTATTACTTTCCATTGTCGACCGAACCGAGCGAGCCTCGCAGCGATATCTTTGTTAATTACATCGTCGCTAACGAAATGCGAAGGTTCAATCAATTAGACTTTAGATTGTCGGCTTGAATGCAGGAAGTTAATTAGCTCGCATAACTTTGAAATAAATACTTTATTATTTGGCATAAGAAAACTGTGCGATACAAGCACAATTAAAGAAGCGTTCGTTAAGTACCGACTGAAGTGTAATGTACGCACTTCGTTTCGCAATTACCAACTTTTCTTTTATTGTTACTTTAATAGTCTGCGGACAGAGAAGGCGGAAAACTAGATAGGATGAACGGCGAGCGCGAGGCAGCGAATTAATTATCATTCACCCTTGGGTTAAAGACAGTGTTGCGAAACAGCGCGCGATTAGTCGAATGAAATTTATCGTCGCGGTAAATGTACGAGTCGAAGGCGAGCCGAGTTGAATCGCCAAGAGAAGAAAAGAGGAAACGAGCCCGTATCGCTTCGCGTCGAATGAACGTTTAAGGGATGTACGCGGGAAAGCGCCGGAGAAAAAGAGACTGCCGGGAGAGGTAGAGACGACTAGGAGAGATGAGCGAGCGAGGGTGGACGGGACTCGTATTATAAAAGCAATTAGGAGGTCTCAGATTAGATATAGCACATCGTACATAACAAATATGATAATACGGGCCGCTAGCCCGAAGGGGGTTTGGCTTTCGTGTACGGGTTTCTCGGCGAGGGTTTCGGGTTATGAGGCAGGTTAAACGGAATCATTAATAATCGGAGCTAACTAATCTGCCTGTCGCTATGAGCACACTTGTTTCACTCCTGTTTTTATTATCGCGCTGCGAGGTAACGTTTTATTCTCCCGATCGGAATGAGAAAAGTATTGCACGGTTTTACGAAAAGGCACACGCGACATGTAAAAATTTTCTTGAGTGTTTTTATATATATATATATATATATATAATTAGCCGTCGCATCGTATCGATCCAATAATAATATTATTTTCGAAGGTGTACGCAGTATAATATAATTGTATTATAATGCATTATTTGGAATGGAAAGATGCATACATTGTCGTATACGAGATGTCCCGCTATCATCACATATTTAATCTCTGCGCGAATGACGCGGGGGCACTTTGAAATAGTAATATGTATTTTACGAGTTATGACGCCAACAAAGTCATTTATTTTGATTTTTTTTCTGTTTCAGCTATACGACGTCGACAAAAATCCTGAGCGAAAGGAATTCCTTGACAATCTCTTCTCTTTTATGCAACAGAGAGGTAAGAATTTATAAACAAATTACGATCGATTAAGTACGAAAATAACGCATAATAAGTCTGTCAATGATTCTTCAACGAGATGTGTCGTAATGTTAGTTTATATTACAAATATTGATCATCCTGACGTTTTCAAGGATGACACATTCATTAATCAGAATTTTTTCCACCTACAAGATTCTCTCGATATTTGCTAATCTCGTGGAGGCAAAGCGAAAAATTCGAAGAACTTTTATACGTATCCGTATATCTCTAATTTATATTTAACTCGTGCATCCCATCAAGATATCTGCTTCAAGTACCGCTTCTCTTTCTTCGCTTTCTCTTTAGCGTAGAAGACAGTAAATCTAATTCAGCGATCAACCGACTCTCTTCAAGAGACGACGTTATTCCGCAAATTTGTTTGGATTCGCCGTTTAAACCTGTCGACCGTTGAGAAAGATACACACGTGTGTGACTATCCCCGGCACCGGCCCGCATCTCGTTTCCTGCACACGTGGATTTTCGTAGCCGGCCGCGTCGTAAACGTCCACGTGGTTAAAAGGTTCGATAACACGTTGCATCTGCTCGGGTACCGCGAAGCACCGAAATTAGAATCGACCAACGAGTCGGAACATCCGACGCCCGTGAAATCGCACGTTTTCTCACGCGTTTGATAGCGCGCTGGATTGTCGTTTCCGAACGAAATTTTAATAAATTTGGATCCCGTAATTAACACAAAGACTCTCTCTTCCCGTTCTTTTTAGCGCTATTTTAGCATAAAAATCTTTTTCTTTTTTTTGGGAGGAAGAGTTTCAGCAAGAGAATTGATCCGCGGCGAATCGTGGCCTCCGAAGACGGTTAGACGGTGAACCGGAAACGTCGGGCTCTAATTATAAACATGGCGACTTCTCGTCCATCAATCAAGCCCGCCAGTGATGCGTCAGTGCTTCTGTTCTTTTCGCTCTTTTTCTCTCTTTCTCTCTCTCTCTCTCTCCCTCTTTCTTCGTTTCTCTATGAAGCTCTGTGGCGCAACTTTGAGTCTGAGACAGTGCTATTATTATGCCTACCTCCCTAGCAATAATTAGAGTCGATTGGATCAACATATCCGTTTGTCTCCTTCCAGTCGTCTCTCCATCGCGCGTTAGTATTTTACGAACAGTAATTTGAAACGATAAAAAACACCAAAGGGGCTAAATGATTACACCGTTCAAAGTGATAACGCATTGACATTAGCTGAATTTTGGATGACGTTTGGAGAATTATTTGATTTTGCATTACTAAGTTTGAAAAATTAAAAGATTCCAATTTAAAAATCCTGGCGTCGATAAAAAGAAAGAAAAGAGATGAGAGAGAAAAAAAAATGACGTTATAAACGAGAAATATGACGTATCACACGATGATGCGCGACCGTAAAGCAACGTACGTGGCGTCGTTTGTTTCGCGGGTTATTATACTTCGTGAATGGTAATAACGAGTCGGGGAGACCATAAATCCTCGAGGCGATCAATGCCGATTGATCTTTCGATTCGCCCGTAACGCGGCTCGATTAAAATCGCGCGCGCGCGCGCGGCGAAGGGGAAAAATAAGAAGGCGAGATCGAGCGAGCGCGCGTATCTCGATGTCTCTCGCGGGTAAAAGCTTGAAATATATACGAACCGACGTATAGGGAGACCCCGGTCGTCGGGCCCCCGGGGCCCTCCCGCGGGGGCCGCGTTATTGTACCCCACGCACGCAATAATTCAACACTAACGTAACGCATAACACCTTACTACGATCCGTGGATATAAAAGACCATTCATCATATTCGGGTATATTAGTCCAGCCACCACCAATTTGTGTTTGCTATCATCGCTCTCGCCCGACTCTATATAGGCGCTCTCGGATCTTTTTAGATATACAAACGCACGGACAAATTATCGCGATTAGTCGATTATAGCTTTCGATTACGGCGGTAGTTCGTTTCGTATTGATATTTTTCGCAAAAAAGAAAAAATAGCGCTTGTATGTATTAATTGTATCGAAATATTTCGTGAATGTTTACATTGATCGAGTATCATATTGCGAGCATAAAAATGCGTTATTTCATACACGTTCAGTTCACATAAATGTGAGCACCTATACGTTTATCGTCCGACTATGACTGAGAGTAAAGCGGAATGCTTATTTAAATGAAGATGGCATTTGACGGCATAACAAAGACAAATAGGTTTCTCTACAATCTGTAGGGTGTCATTCTCTATTCTAGTAACAAGGTTTATAAATAAGTCGATACATTCCAAACAAACAGCTGCAATATTCTATTTTATTGCAATCTTCCCCTCTATAGTTCCTAATTATATGGATAATGACTGTGTGATAATTTTTATACTATATAATATTGGAAATAATTATCTTATCAGAATTGGAACGCAATCCAAACTATTTTCGTAAAGTTCAACGACTTTCATATAGCTGGATTATTCCAATAAATAGTAAACTATGTGTGTGGTTATTAATATATTATTATTACATTATTATTATATATAAATAGAGAGGAACAATTATATAATATTTATTGATGTATTACTGCTTATTGGAATAATAAAGCTGTATGGAAGTCATTTAACTTTACGAGAATAGTTTAAAGAGATTGCGTTCTAATTCTGATATAATAATTATTTCCAATAGACCGATATACGAGCATAATATTACACGGAGAACTAAACGATCCTAAAATCCTGCGCGGAATTTAATATTAGCTTCGTGTTTGCTTTGCGCTTCGTACTCGACGCCACGCGGGAACCACTCTTTTTCGGGGAACTTATCTTTTAATGACCTTTAAATCCGGCACCGTTAATAGATATTACCAAGGCCATTTTGCAACAAAGTGTCCGTCCCGCTTTCGAACCCGCCGCGACGAAGGTATTCGTATATCAAAAGCGCCGACGAGGCACGCGGAACGCACAAATTCGCGCAAGCGGAACATAACTTTGCCCGATAACTTTGCTGTCGAAGGAGCGCCGAGAACCGGTTCGCGAAAGTCAACACGTAAACCCTCCAGGACGCGCGATCCAAAAAATTCTGAAGGGATCGATCTTGCGAGCGGTCTCGATTGGGGTAAATAAGAGCGAGCGGGAAACACGCGTACGCGAACTTAATTATAGAGGTGAGTGTTTTGGAGAATTATAATCTCTACGCGAACACGCATATATATATATAGGCGAGATTTTTTTTTCTCTTTCCTCTCGATTTTTCCGCCGCTCTTCTTCCATAGCCTAGTATATGCGCGAAGAATCTTCACATCTTCGTTCTTTATTTATCGCATACATTGCTTAGCATCGCTTGAAAGAGAAAGAAAGGGAGAGAGAGAGAGAGAGAGAGACCGACTTGTTATAAATCCCAACCCATTTAATATGCAAATTTCGCCACCTCCGACACAGCCCCAGGTCTGCACTTACTTTCTTCTTTTTTTTTCCCTACCAACACGAACGAGTTTCAATCGCCAATGTAATTCATAGTGTGGCGGGCGACTGTGCGAGTAATGCCATTCCTCGTCGAATACGTTATTATATTTATTTTCCTCTCTGTTCATCTTCTCAGCTTCTCGTGCAGTCACACACATATTATAAATATATATATTTGTACTCCTACAAATGTATGAAGATATAAGAATGTAACTTATGAATCTTGAAGATTTTTTATGAATCTCAAAGATGATGTCTTTTTCGCTTTAAATATTAACAGAAATTAATTCTCTCTCTCCGTTTATATATACACATAGTATCCAAAAAGCATCGGATTTTAATTTTTCTTAATTTGAAGACAATATTTTCCTAGCGAAAATGTATCGAGGCATCAATAATGTTCGAGCTGTAAATGATTAAGAGAAAGGTTTTTCACGAATCAAACTTTATATACATAATATAAAATATAATTATATACAATTATAAAAGATAAATGAAACGATAGTAAAAGTAATTTACTTGAAAAATGTTTTTGATAATCGAAAAATTAAGTGGGTGAGGATTAATAGGAGATAAGACAATAAGATGTAAATCTAGTTTTTTTCTTTTTTTTTTTTTGCCACGATGATTTGGTTTGTAAAAATGACGTTAGATTGACGAAAAGATGCTTTCGCTCGCAGAACGAATTGATCCTCGCCAAGTGTAAAAGTGCGTCGAGCGGAGAGCGCGTCTAACGTCGCGTTACGGCCGATTCGTAGGGAAAAAACGCCTTTTTACTCGCGCCGCGCGCGAGTAACGCATTAACGCGGAGAACACGTGTTCGGCACGAACACTTCTCGCTACACACTTGTGAACACGCACCGCGTACGTGACGTCTGCATATACACAAGATATTACATTAGGTTTTCATAGAGAGGCGCGCTCCTTTCGTCCTCCCATTTTTTTCTTCCCACTCTTCCTCCTCCTCTCTTATCGAACGAACGTGCCAATCGTTTCTCCGCATGCGGATCGCGATTATTTTCGATGAAAATTTCGCGAGGAAAAAAAAAAAAGGAGAAACCTCTCCCCCTTCAAATTAAACTAAACGCTCCGTGTAGGTAGCAAGGGGACTTCGCTTTCGTGCGCACCCGTAAATTAAAGGGGGCGAACGAGGGAATCGGAGAGCACACGAGCGGGAACTAGCGTGAAATTGAGCAGCCGGCTCCGATCTGCCGGCCGAGTAAAATCCGCGGCGGTAGCCTTAACGTAATTATCGTGCCGAGCGGCCGTTACTTTTAGTACCTTTTAGTACGTCTATAGTCATTTCGCATACACTCCCCCATCCCGCTTCCGTATACGAGAGAGATTCGATAGAGTACACGCCGGGAATCTTATACGCGAGGGAGTGTGACTCGCGCGTCGGAAAATATTTTCATTGTGCGAGGAATAAAGGAGACGACGTGATTCGCCAGTGGGCTGACACACGATTCGCTCTCTCTCTCTCTCTTCCTCCCCTTCCCGCTTCGCTCTCCTATTTCCTTATTATTCGATATTTTGTACCGGGGGCACGTTCCGTATGCCGTTACTCGGTAACTGCAC